TTATTTTGTCAAAAGGCCCGGCTACATGTGTCGGTCTCAGGGAACCGAAATTAGCATGACTTTTTAGTAGTGTGTGACATTACATCAATTTCCCCAACTTTATTAATAAGATTTTTAGCCGATGGCTATTTCATCTCAGAGAACGACATCAAAGCCTCTCTGATGTTTAGTAATAAGGGCCCACCGTACGTTTGTGCATGAAATTCAAAGACCATGAATCTCATTCTAACCAGATCTTATCTATTCCCTTAATTGAGACCTAAGAATTAATTTGAGTCCAAATTACTGGCTATCTGCCTTCTCATTAAAAAAAAACTTACAAGAGAAATTTAATGAAAGTTTAAATATTTTGATTTTATATGGGGAAACCATACCCCGCTTCCTTGTAACGGACACAAAACCATAATGGCTAAAAGAATCACCCGCTAATTTTGTCTATTCTCTACACCGCAATTTTTTTTTGACGTAGGACTACGTCTTTGATTTCTATATGGGGGTACACTTTGTGAAAACCGAAAATGGAACATGTAACAAATTAAGAAAGATTTTGAACGTTAATAACTCAGCTGCCCCTGGTCCAATTTCAATAATTTTATCACCAATCGATCAGAAATATGGCTACGCATTGATAAAAATGCTGCCAAATGTTGATTTTCAACAAGAAACTATTGAAAAACTGGTAAATGTTCAGCATTGTCCAAAAGCGTCGAATTAACTAACAAATCCACCAATTACCTACATGCATATGCTGCTTCCCCAGCACAGTCGTCAGAGAGTAGTAAGTAGACGAAACAAGTCGAAGTGGCATTCGCCTCCGATCCTCGGGCGCGTGCGAATAGGGAGGATGGAATTGCGTAATACTTAACACACTCATCGCCATGTTCAGAACCAAACGCAAATTTTTCGAGATAACCACCATCCGTCGTCTGGCTCGCCGTGGCGGTTTCTGACGTATCTCCGGTTTGATTTACGAGGTGTGCTGAAGGTGTTCCTGAAAAATGAGATCCGTGATGCTGTCACCTACACTAAACACGCCAAGCATAAGCGGCCATGGATGTCATCTACGTTTTTGAAGTGACGGAGACGCACTCTGTTTGGTTTCGGAGGTTAAATCATCACCAACATTGGAAACAAAACGGCTCTTTTCAGGGCCACCAAGCTTATTACAGAAAAGAGTAGGAATAGAATTCATCTGCCTGTTTGTCCATATTCAGAACCACCGACCACACAAAATGCTCATGTAATCAAACTGGAAGCAGGGATACAAATTATTTTGATCAACCTTGATCAACTTTGAATCGCCACGGCCGGATATTTTCGATGGAAGAAGCAACAATCTAGCATCTAATTCGACGAAGACGTCAGGAAACATTTCTGGATCAACAATAGAATAGGGCCCATCAGCATTTGTAAACAAACCGTTCCAAAGCCTCACAAATCGAAGGCCGCTCACACAAACCAACACCAACATCTTGTAGGTAGAAGTTTCCCCTATCCGATGATGGTGTTGGTTTGTGTGGGTGGCCTTCGCTTTGTGAGTAAAGGGCTTTGGAACGGTTTGTTTACAAATGCTGATGGGCTCTTTTCTATTGTTGATCCTAATTTGTGAAGCCGAGTTATTTACGAAAGAGAGTGTCGATGAAGATAATCGAACAATGTAGATAGGACCTATTGAAAAGTGACGCGAAATTTGTTTTCCGTACTGAGCTCCAATGCTACCGACGCCAGGGAGGCAGCTCCCAGAGATGTTATGCCTTAGAACATGCCGATGGCGCCGACTGAGATTGGACCCAGGCCTGCTGGGGTGAGAGGTAATCACGCTAACCACCGGCGACGATATCTATCACGGCGAATGAGAACGACCCAAATTTGAGTTTAGTTATCTCAGAAATAAGAAATAAAGTGCAGGAACTCAGCGATGAGTAAATTTGCCTCTTGTTTCCCAGGTTTTTCCAGGATTTTCCAGGGAAAAATTCCCGAATTGGAGAAAAGTAAAGATTGGATTCACTCAGTCTATTGGCACTACTCCGAGACTGAATAAAATTTTCGTCAATCTCCTCATTTTCTGGCAGATTTTTTAGGTTTTCCACACGAAATCATGAGACAAATTTACTCATCGCTGTGTTCCTACACTTTTGGCGATTATGAGTGAACTAAACTCAAATTTGGGTCGTTCTCATTCGCCGTGTACGCAAAAAGAAAATAGCCAGTGTCGCTACTTGATAGCAAACTACTCATAATGGGAGGAGTCTTTGTAGCTTTTATACCACTTGGTTGCACATCATTCTGCTTTAAGCTAAAAAATATTAACTAGAACAAAGATGAAGAGCCAAAGGCTAACCAATTGAAATGTTAAATCAAATGTTGAAACATAAAACCCAGAAAATAAACGTAAATTTTACTACTACTGGTATCAGCTCATTTTCGTTTCGGACGGCGTGGTTGCAACAGCAGCAGTAGATCGTGGCTGGTCGTGGCAAAGGAGGTGCCAATCGTCATCGCAAAATCTTCGATATAACCACCATCCGTCGTCTGGCTCGCCGTGGCAGTGTCTGACGTATCTCCGGTCTGATCTACGAGGTGTGCTGAAGGTGTTAGTGGAAAATTAGGTCCGTGATGCTGTCACCTACTCTAAACACGCCAAACGTAAGTGGCCATGGATGTCCTCTTCAATAAAACGGCCCTTTTCAGGGCCATCAAGCTTACATCAGTAAAGAGTTGGAATAGAATTTATCTGTGCTTGTTTATCCATATTCAGAACCACAAGCCCCCAACGACCACACAAACTTGGAAGCAGGGGTGCAAGTGATTTTGATTGATTCTCGTAATCAACTTTCTTTTTGAAAAAGATTACTACAAATTTGGATCGCCTACAATTCAAAAACGGAAAGAGTTGAGATAATAGATATTAAATATCAAATTTTGATCAATTAAAAGAACTTAATGCTCTTCACATTTATTCCGTCCACTAGCGGTCCTACGTCAAGCTTCCATCCGTGCCCCTAGGCACAGACCCTTCTACTTTTTATATTATATCCACATTCCACACACCATTTACCTCTAACTTTTGACATCAAGCTTTTAATTTTTTTTTCCTTGATTTGTTTCCCGTCGATCTTGTTTTCCGTGCTGAGCACCAATGCTACCCGACGTGCCAGGAAGGCAGCTCCCACATCTGGACCCTACCTATCGACCCATCAACCCATGAACCGGGGACCAACGGCTTTACTTCCCTTCCGAAGGAAGGTGTGATCAGAGATGTTGTGCCTCAGAACATACCGGCGACGCCGACTGGGATTGAACCCAGGCCGGCTGGGGTGAAAAACAATCACGCTTACCACTACACCACCGACGCCGCTATCAAGCTTTTAATATTACCTACAACTTTTGACTGTAACTCAAAGTATCTCTTATGCATGATGAACCAGAACGAATTGAACCCACCATTGTTTTTCAGTGAACGTATATTACATGCACTGAAAAACAATAACAGGTTCATCCCGCATCATCGTTCATCATGCATATGTGATACAGACTTGAGTTATTGATACAAGTTGTAGCTAATATTAAAACCAACAAAAGCTACGTACATAATTTTAAGAAATTCTGTAGATGAAAAAAGTTAGAGGTAAATGAATGTTAATGATTGTCTATGCTTTCTATTAAGACACTCTATATCTGTCCTATGGTGCATAGCCAAAACTCGTCCAACAGTCGGAATATCAAGCACTTTCAACATTGCATGCGCATATATTTTAATTCTAAAATGCTGATGTAAGACCGAAAAAGGCGAAACAATTGACCAGTAACATGCTTGGGTTGAGTCGTCGGGATGCTTTTGAGTATGCTGATATAACGCCAGGAGAGAAATGTCAAACCAACCAAAAATAATTGCATGTTCTGTTTTATCGACATTGATCAAATGATTCAGAGCAAGACAAAAATAATGATAACTGTTATCTCTATCACTCAATTGAAATCGAAAAAAAATTCATCTTTGACGAAGAACATGTTTTCATATTCTTTGATTTAAGGGGAGGTTTACTTGGATTTGGCTGAAAAACAGTTGAACTTTGGAATTTTTTCAGGAGAATGAAAAGACATACGAACTTCCAGTTTCGATAATTATATTTGTCCACTATTCCTGAATACTTGGAAATTTTTTGAAGGTAAAAAAACAAAATGGCGGCTCAAAATGGCGGCTCGCGTGGAGGAGTGTCAGTCAGGTTTTGCTGCAGAACTTCGAGTGCACACCCTCTGGTGGTGAACTGAAATGAAATTTTTTTATTGTGGTTAAAGTTGATAATATTCCCTATGGCTTATACCTAACTAGAACGAAATCCGACAAAAATTGACCAAATTATGGACATTTGAAAATTTAGTGCTTTTTTTACCCCTTTTTTTTCTCACTTTGACCTTGCTTAAAAAATAGTAACTAACATTTTTTTTTTCATTTTAGGTATAAGCCATACAAAATATAGTATCATTCAAAGCGCAATTTTCCGATTGTAAATCCGATCATTTGTTCAAGCCCTATGCTCTAAGTTGTTATAAAAAATATGGTTTCGAGAAAAACGCGTTTAAAGTTTTTGTTGCGTCCCTCAGCGCGCATGACAAAGGTTCACTCAAAGCGCCATAACTCGCTAAATATGTTTCGGATCGTAAAATCCTTTTGGCCACATATTCTACACACTTGTAGCTTTCATTTTATGCAAAAAAAACATTTTTTTTTTTGAAAAAATCCAAGTAAACCTCCCCTTAAGATCTCGAAATTGGATTAAAATTACCGATGGGATGGTAGTTTAATAATTACGTATGCCTTGGTCAGACTACAGAGTTATAACATGTTATAATATTTATCGACAAGCAAAATATATACCCTGTAATCATTTAAAACTGTCCACATGGTTTGTGGACACCCCTAAGCGCTAGAAAAAAAAATGTTGAGCAACATTCCATGGACGATGTCACATATTTCATAGCTTACTTTATGCTTCCAGATGCCTCTTCAGTCAACTTGCGTTACATGCCCAAGAGCCCGAACAACGACTTCCTGCAGCAGATTTCCCGCGAAGTGGTTGAGCTGATAAAGATGTCACCGAAATCGTCAATGAAGTTCACCCGATTCATCCCGGCCTATCACAACCATTTCGGAAAACAATGTCGCGTAGCCGATTATGGCTACACCCGGCTGATAGAGCTCTTTGAAGCGCTTTCACCGGTGGTCCAAGTGATGGGAGACGGTGAGAATCGCCACATCACGCTGACTCATCGGACCCAGATCCGACGTTTTACCGGTGACTTGCTGAAAATTTTACGCGGCCAAGCGAATAAATCAATTCTGCTCTCGCAGCTGCCAATCATCTTTTCGCAAGCACAGAATAAAATGTTCGACGTAACGGACTACGGCGTGTGCGATATTTTCGACATCATCGACGGGTTGGTGTACAACAATTCGATCGTCACGAAGGTGTTCAACGAGACGGATGTATTGATTTCGATGGTGAAACGGAAGCAGTCTCCAACCGAGCTGGAGAAAACGAGCATCTTTGCCGGGGAGGTAGTTGAGCTGTTCAAGAATGCTCCACAGTACTCGATACTGTTTAAAAAGTTTGTCCGCTCGTATCACTATCACTTTGGATATCAGTGTCGTTTGAGTGATTATGGCCTGATGAAGTTGGCGGATTTGCTGGAAGCCATTTCCGGAATAGTTGAAGTAAAAATGTTCGCTTGTTTATCTGATTGTGTGATATTCATCAATTCCTTGTTCCTACAGATGGAGCAATCCAACGATGAGGACCGGAAAATCTATCTCAATCACAGAGTTGCCATTCGCATTTTTGCTGAACAAGTGCAGGATATTGTTAAGCATTTCACCGGCAACAGTGTCTCGATGATCTTAATGAGCGAAATACTCAATTTCCATAAAAACAAGTACGGGTATCAAATTCAACCGTATAGCCTTGGGTATAGCAATTTGTTCGATGCTATCAAAGCGCTTCCTTATTTGGAGATATTCGAATCAGGCAATGATTTCATAGTCGTTTCACGATTGGAAGACCCCGTATTTCGACTCCGATCTTATGCTGTTTGTCTCTGCCTCTTGGACTCGAACAAGGAACGTATGCCTATCAGTGACTTTCTGCGGAGCTACCTGGTCAAATTCAAAGAGAATTTAACAGAAAGGCAAATGTTCAACATGAAACATGCCATAACGGTAGGTCTGGGGAATGATTTGATCTCCCATGAGGATTGCATTTCAGATTTCAATGCTTTGGCTTTCTTTGCTTTCAGATTGAACTTGATAAGGGAAATCAAACTGTGACGATGACGCCGTTGATGAAGTTCATCCTTCGTATCATACAGGTTCTCAAGCAGAAGAGTCCGATCAATTTGTTTGATCTCAAACAGGCTCTTAATTTGTCGATTTCGTCCTGTTTTGAGTTTGGTAAGTTTTCGAAAATTATTTTCCCATCATTGAATTTTTCATGTATCATTCCAATGCAAAATGATATAGTGGTTCTCAGAATTTCGTAAAAATAGTAGTTTTGTTCCTTATAGCAAAATATTAGACTCCTACTTTTTTGTCATTAGGGTGACCATTTCCATAATAGGGTGGTCAAAAAATCAAATATACCTTTTTTCAAAAAGTCAACTTTTGAATAAATGGGCCTATTTTAAAGATCAACATATCAAATGAGAGGTAGTTAAAAATACTTTTTTATTAAAAATATGATTTTAAGAAATTGGGATTTTGTATTAAAAAAAGATTGATTGTTTGTTTTACCTCCCCATGGACATGGAGGTTGACGGTACTTAAGCAAAGGGTTATGTTTAATTTCTTTATATTTGCAACGATGATGATTTCCCATAGTGACACATATCACCTTCTTAATGCTTCAGTATACCTCAAACGATTAATTCTTGGTTGTTAATCGAACTTCCTTGATGCAATCGGCTGCTTCATGCAGACTGAGCAATTCTGATTATAGTATCAGATTTGTTCTGTATACAGAGGAACTGGGAGGGCTTATTAGAAACTTCTAACCAATAAAGTAATGACCTTCTAGTAAATTTTGCATATCATTTTATTAATATTTTATTTTATTTAAGCATATTATTTTTGTTACAGTCAATTAGCATTAGCATACAATACAAGAGATTTAATATTACTTGCTCGGTTTTGCGTAAAATAATCCATATGTATTTTGCTTGTAATTACCTTTGATTTTTTTTTGTGATTTCAAAATTTTCCTAGTTTGGTTAGAAGTTTCGAAGCTAAGTCCACAGGCCTAATAGAAAGATAGACAGACAAAGCGTATCATGAAGAATAGTTGCATGCAGGGTTGCTTCCACTCACTTTCTATAGATGAGTGATTTTCGGAGTTTTGAATTCGTTAGATGTTGTAGTGGGGGTTTGTGTTGTTGGATGCGGGAGGAGATTGGAGGGCGGGTGTTTGACGCATAGAGCCTGTCAATTTCGCTTTCAGAGTGTCGCAGTCAGCGGTTTTATGATTCGTGAGCGCTCGCGATTCGTAGAATCGTTGATTGTGACTGCCAGTGGATTTGGCGGGTTTTGTGTGTCGGACGCTTGCTTTTTGGCCTTTTCTTGTATCTAACATGTGCAGAATATCATTATAGCGTCTAATGGTTTTGAGATTTCTGGTTGCGTGAAATATACTTGTGAGAATATCTTTTTGAGATTTTAGTAGTCACGTTTTGTTTGTAGTTTATATGTTATTTCTTTCATGTAATTATCGTAAATAATAGTTATTCAATAATAGATAATTCATCCATATATTCAATAATAAATTTACGAATGACTATAATTTGGATACCTAACAATTGGACAGAATCACTAGCAAGAATAGGTTGTGTTCGCCTTCGAAAATATCGATTCGTTTTTTCAGGGTTGTAGTTTTGGTTTTCATCAGTGGCCCGGCTCTGATTGTGAACGATTTAGGTAGTATTTTTAGGTAACTATTTAGCTTTTAGCACAACTTTGCTACTACGAATCCACAAAAGACATTAAATTGGAGGCGGATTCTGGTACGGAATTAAAGGCTGCTATTCTGAGCAACTTATCTTCATAAAATTAAAAATTACATTTAGGTATTAATTACCAAATATGAATAGTAGTTAACTTTAACATAATTTTGATAAAACAATCATTTCATCCAGTTCACTTTAAAACAAACAAGTATGAAAGGAGATTGCTTAGAATAAAGATAAAAGTAATAAGCGCAATATTAAACGACATTAAATTTGAATCTGATACGGTAGGCCATATAACAGAGTCGATAGCCATTGCAAATCAACCATCTCTACCTGCTTATTTTCCTAACTTTCACTATTATTGCTGTTACTCTGACTATCCCCTATGTTCAACAGCTTTCCTTACTATACGGTATCGTAAACAGGATTCATTTGACCCCTGTGGTTATTATTCTGTGATGCCAAATCTATACCTCTACCCTGGTGCAGTATGGACAGCGATTTTTCGCTGGTGACTTGGTCCTATTACCCCCTTCTGTGCTTGAAAATGAAAATGAAATGAAAATGAAAAAAGATTGTTTGTTTGTTTTATGGTTTCATGGTTTGTAGACAGAGGGCGCAAAACTTTATTTTTATTTTTACTTGAAAATTGAGGAAATTTAACGCAAAATATAAAAAAGAACAGCGATATGTTTTGTTTTGTTTTTGAATAATTATTTTTTTTAGATATTAAGTTTTGGGTTTTCGCTCAATAGTCTAGTCTAGTATTTTGCGAACAAAACTACTAATTTTGACGAAATTCTGAGATCCACTATATCGTTTAGTATAATCAAAATTTTCCGCACGTTTTGTTTTATGCGGAAGTAATTGTGTCCAAATAAATTAATTTTCTTTGGGTAATCGCCTTTCTCCACAGGATATCCTAATATTTCCTCGCTCATTGGCGCGTTTCCGGACATTTTCACCACCAACAGCTATTTCCATGAGCGAGCCGACATTGAACTGAACCGTGACTGCATTTGTAAGCACCCACAAAGCAAAACCATTAATAATTTAGTCGGCTTATCTCCGTGACATAATTTTTCATCTCCTTTCAGTGAGCAAGGCTTGCTTCAGTAGCGAGGAAAATTCCACACCGGCAGCGATCTCGACCACCAACAATGCTCACACCACCCCCGCAAAGGCGAAAGCGCTCGCCGACGAAAATAAGCTTTCCCATGCCTCGATGACAAATGATTTTAGAAATTTGTTCTACAGTAGGCAAGAAGCCATTGCTCAGCATCATTTGTTGCAGCGACAGCAACAGCAACAGCAACACCAACAGCAACAGCAGCAGCAGCAACAACAACAACAACAACAACTTCAACCGCTGCAGCAATCCCAACAGATGAATCAACAACAGCCGACTACTTACTTTCCGAATAACCGTTTCAACAACAATCCAATGTTGAACAGTCACTATAGTCTGTCCAGTTCAACTTTATCGTCAACTGCTGTTCCAGCCGATATGATGGGCACTAATAATCAGACTATGATTATGAAAAATCAAAACAAAGAAAACTATTACCACTGTTACAGTGGCATAGCGCTCCAACAGCAACAGGTTCAACAGTTGCAGCTTCAACAGCAACAACAACAGCCACAACAACAACCACAACAGCAGCAGATTTCAGTTTCACAGACTAAATTTGCATCGTTGAACACGAATATGTGCTCTACGGGTGGTAGCAGTGGTGGTTGTGCTTCAAATGTTGCAACGATAACCGCGAATCGTGCAGCTGGACAGATACAGGCATCAATCGCCAACTCGCTGGCGTCCACAACAGCAACAGCAGAAGAAATAGAACCAGGTGCCTCGCGATTCTCCGCCACCAAACTTTACGAACGCAGACAACAGCAGCTTTCATTGGGTTTACAATATCTCAATTGTAACAGTTTTGGATATGGACTTTTGTCGGAGTTTTACGAGCCGCCGAAGCCGGACACGCCACCATCGAGGGTGAGTTAGATGTTGTGTTCTTTTACATTTCGATTGTTACATTTGAACGTGTTTACATGTTCAGACGTGTTGTTCTGTTCTTTTTACGGTGAATTCCATACTTTCATAGGTACCTACACACTTGCTATAAAAAAAGTTTTCTGAATCTGTCAATATTGCTTTCAGAGCGTCACAATCAGCGATTTTACTATTCGTTAGCACTCACTCTGAGTGATCGCTCACGAATAATAAAAAACCGCTGCGACAGGTTTCTCCTGTCAAACACACACTTTACTATCTCTTCTTGTAGCTTGCAATTGCAAAATATCATCATAACATCGAAAGATTTCATAATATCGGAAAACATTTTTATAGCAAACGAATGGCCGTAATGAGTAATTTTCATATGAATATGAACAGCCGTCCACCTCATCATTCACTGCCTCATGCGAGTCTGAATGATTGGGAAGAATACATGTCACTGACAGCAGAGTACTCATAGCGAATTCGTTTATTATTCAGTTCCAACCTGGATCGGGTATCAAGATTAGGTCTGTTTGTTTTCTGAAAACGTTAGTTTGCTCGTTTGTTTTTAAAATCCAGCTCAGGTTGAGGTTCGCACTGACAAAAAGTTCGGTTTCGCACTGGTTCCAACCCTGATAATAAACGAATTCGCTATCAGTCAGCACGATTATTCATCCGTGATGGTATGTGAAAAATGCCTCAATTATATACTGCGTGACCGAAGGCAAGCAGTGTGATTCGCCTGTTGGTGAATGACTGAATGTTTCCTGTTTGGTTCTTTCGTTGCCTCGTCCTTTAAAGTTTGGTAAAAGCGGTCTGGATAGAGCAATGAATTGAATAGTGCAGTGCTTTCACCAGAGCTGCTGAATATCACGGCCGTCATGTGATTCCACTCACTTGCTATAAAAAATTGTTTTTCGGAATTATGAAACCATTAGATATTATAATGATAGTTAGTAGTTGTATGTCACAAGATAAGGCTGTAAACTAGGTGTTTGACACATAAAACCTGTCATTATTGCTTTCAGTGCGTCACAATCAGCGATTTTACGATTCGTGAGCGCTCACGAGTCATAAATTCGCTGATTGTGACGCACTGAAAGCGAAATTGACAGGTTTGATGTGTCAAATACATACCTTCCAACCTCTTCTTGTTTCTTACAAGTACAACTTTCATAATTGCATCCAATGATTCCATAATTCCGAAAAACATTTTTTATATCGAAGTGAGTGGAAGTAACCCTGGATAAAACAGGTCCTCTCACTGTCACGAGACGAAACTACCTATCGTTAACTTTCTTGTCATTTTCCAAAGATCAATCACTCACGTGAATAATTCTTATGCAATCCTTTAAATTTGTCGAACCTCTTAACGGAATCCCTTTATGAAGAGCTTTGAGTGGGTTGGTTTATTTCCTTTAAATTCCGTTATAATTGCTTATCTTTTGACAGATACGCGTATTTCGTCTACTACTTGCAGACTTCATCAGTGCCAAGTACTCAACACCAGTATTGTGTGAGTACTTGGCACTGATGAAGTCTGCAAGTAGTAGACGAAATACGCGTATCTGTCGAAAGTCGCCATTGAAAATTTATTCGATTGCTGAATTTATGTACGGGCTCAAATAAGGGGCATTTAGGCCGACATTAGATCCATTTCCCCTATCTCTGTAAATATCGCTTGAAATCTTTCATTCAAAAATGACATTTTCCAGCCCTGGCTTTCACAGCCTAAGTAGTCAATAATTTTACACTCTGCCCTCAACCATCCCTTTCTTTATTAGTTTTTCCGAACCTGCACTGCCTATAATCCCATATCAGTCCCATATGGAAAAAGTAGGCCTTGAGAAAATGGCAGTAGAGAAGTTACGAAGTGAAATTCCGCATAATATTCCGAAGTGCAATATGTAAAAACTCACAGTAAATTAATTGATATTTATTTTTCAAGTTGAAACCACTTACATGATGCTTACATATTTTGTTATATCAGCGAAAAATATTGTGATCCAAAAATCAGAACTCTAACTTGACCTCTGGACGATCGGATTTCAGGATGAGACAGATATGCGATAGCTCTGCCTAATGGGAAAAACTTTTTCACATTTTTCACGACCAAAGTCCTTAGAGATTGCTAATGTAGGGGAAATGGCTCTAATGTTGGCCTATGGATCTAAGATTGGGCCCATCGCTAGAAATCTGCTATTTATCATTGTATCTAGATGAACGCGTCATTGGGACGGTACTAATGGATATTTTTGGTTGCTATTGAAAATTTGATCGATGGCTGAATCTATGTTTGGGCCCAAATTAGGTACACTTAGGCCGACATTACATACATTTCCCCTATGATTGTGTCAGTGATTTGTTTTCATCGGGAAAATTTTCCGCTATGAAGTTTTTTTTTTTGCGTATACGTATACGTGACGTAGTGTGCGTAAGATAAACGTCATCAATCTCCATAGTTTTATCACGCAATATGAAAGCAGCTGCCAATTGATAAAGGATAACGTAGTTATCTTATATGCGATTACAGGCAGTGTAGCACTCAGGTATCCCAGGCTTTTATGGCGCGACCTGTTTTCCAATCAATACCCTCCCGTAGGTCATTCTTAATCCCCTAGCCAGAAGTGTGAGAGCTTAATCTCATGCTGTAGGCCTGGCATGGGAGACCAACCCAACTAACAATTTTCACAATGTAAACGGCTTTACTCATTTCATTTATACAGCCTCAAGCTGTATTCAAACGTTATACGATATGACGAAACGGACGAAACCTTTACTCAACCTCTATACAAGCAAATCTGGCGAACTTAGTCAGCTACTTATGGCTGTTGGGACGCTTGGGACAAGCTCTTATTGCATATCCATTAACGCTTATATACAGCTGTTATCCTGCTGATTAGTTGTGTGTGAATTTGAAAGGCGCTTATTCAACCTTTTCTCGGTTATCCAATAATCACTACACAGCTTTATCTTGAAGCCGGGTTAAATATTGTTTACGCTATTTTTTGATGGAGGAATTTATTGAGTTTATTTTGTGGTGAATCAAATTAATCGAATTTAGTTACAAGCACACCGTCAAATTATTTACCCTGCACTGGACCTAGAATCGAACTCGAGAACACCGCATTGGAAAACCTTGACACTACCAACTGTGCTACGTCAACATGTTGAACTGATGTGAAAATATCAACAAGCCCTTCTTCAACAAAATCGCTGAGTAGAGGCTTTATAATAGTGCACTTGAATCACTTTTCTCGACTAGTTACTTCAGCTTTGTAAAGGAGCAGAGTAAAAGCTGTAAAACTGCACACGTCTAAAAATAAACCTAGTTGACAGTAAAAATGCTTCCAAAGTAGCGCTAACACAGTTTATTAGCTGAGTACAGGTTGTTTAGTTGTTAAAAAAACACTTTTGATATTTATGTTATTCAGCAAGATTGGTTGATTGTGTAGAAGCCATCAAATGAGTAACTTACTTATTTTACTTAAGGGTCCTGAGCACCACCAGCGGTGCAAAGGGCCAACGTGAAAGACTTCCATCCTGGGCGGCTGCTCGCTTTTGCCTTGACCTGGGCACAGGTCAGATTTCTATCGACTTGCTTAATTTCCTTATTGAGGCTCCGCCGCCATGACCCTGGGTCTGCGTCTACTGAGATGTCCTGCTGGATTCCAATCCAGCGCTTGCTTGCAGATTTCGTTTCCGCCCGTCGAAGTGTGTGGCCGACCCACCTCCACTTTCGCTCTCGAATTTCTGTTGCTATCGGCTTCTGATGACATCGACGATGGAGCTCGGCATTCGAGATCCAGTTGTGAGGCCACCAGGCACGAATGATATACCGCAGGCATCGGTTGATGAAGACCTGCAGCTTTTGAGTGTTCTCCGCTGATACACACCACGTCTCGCTGGCGTATAACAACACAGATTTCACGTTCGAGTTGAAAATTCGGATTTTGGTGCGTTGACTTATCTGGTTGGTTCTCCATACGTTTCGTAAACTTGCAAAGGCAGCCCTAGCCTTCTTGATTCGTGCACCTATGTCGCTCTTGGTCCCGCCGTCCAACGCTATTTGGCTGCCAAGATATTGGAAACTTTCGACCTTCTCCACTGCTTGCCCCGCTACCGTAAAGTTGGAAGGGTTGCCCGTGTTGATATCCAACGATTTGGTCTTGTTGACGTTGATGGTGAGACCCGCCGCAGAGGAGCGTTCGACTAGGTCATTGAGCTTACTCTGCATATCAGAGCGCCGTTGTGCTAGTAGAGCAACATCATCAGCCAAATCGAAGTCGTTTAGATGCTCCATGGTGATAGGCTGCCAAAGCAGCCCACGGTTCGGTACACGGTCAATTGCACCTACCATAATCTCGTCGATTACGATGAGAAACAGTAGCGGTGATAGTAAATGAGTAACATATTCACGTTATTAGCTTTGTTTTGCAGCAACAAGTTGAAAGTTGATTAGCATGTGTTTAAAAGTGAGATTAGCGTTTATTGGCTGTTGTTATTCAGTGCGACTCACAAGTTGAAAAAAGTTGAGTAATCGCTCTCCAAAACTATTTTGCTAGCTTCTTCTTATAGCTGTATCTGCAGCTTTTTTAGCTACTTTACAGCACAACGCTGGAAAAGTTGGCTTATAAAGCTGAAAATGTTAGTTGGGATATTCTTTTCATTCAATTCTTAGCCACGTCGTAGTACGTTTATATAAAAACACTGTCATCAGGTGTTATACCAGCGGGTTTTGCCTCAATTTTCTTTGAAAGTTGACGATAGGGTTTTTGATCTAATTTCCCTCTCTTTTTTGAAAAGGTTTGAACAAAACATGGAATATTTTTATCAAAGATAGGGAAAATGTATGTAATGTCGGCCTAAGTGTTCCTAATTTGGGCCCATACATAAATTCAGCAATCGACTAAATTTTCAATAGCAACCAAAAATATCCATTAGTACCGTCCCAATGACGCGTTCATCTAGATACAATTGATAAATAGCAGATTTTT